GCCAGGCCCTCATCCAACCTCTCCCAGCACAATCCTGGTCTGCCCACAGCTGCATGCTCTAGGCAGTGGCCTCCTGAACTCAGCTCTGCTCTCCTAAGAAGATTGGAGCAGGGTTGGGAAGGGCTGGAGACCAGGGATCAGTCAGGTGAGCTGGGGTGGTCCCCGCCCTGGGCTTGATTGTTTTTAATCTGCCCTGCAGGGAAATTCCAGGTTAGGCTCTGGGGCCTATGGGCTCTGATCCCCGCAGATTTCTGAAACCAATCTTTTTCATTACACTTTTGAGTTGCTTTCTGGGAGTGTGTGTGTGTGTGTGTGTGTGTGTGTGTATGTGTGTACGTGGTGTACATGTGTGTACATGTTATATGTGTATCTGTGTGTTTCCCTCTCAGAATAGCAAAATCAAAGGAGAAAAAAAAAAAAAACAGCAGCAGTTTATTGGGAAGAAATTCTGGCTTGACTCATTAATGAAGTGCAGAGTGCCTGGGAGAGTTTTTGCTCTCTTTGGGGGAGCAGCCGCTTGTACCCATCCTTTGCAAGCAAGTGCCTCCTTTCCGGGCTTCCCCATTCCATTTGGTGTAGGATCAAAATTAGAGCCAAGATGATCAGCATTCCTGAGCATGCAAAAGTACCCTGGCCTCCTGAAAAGAGGCACAGCCAGGAGGATGAGGGGGAGAGGGGACCCCCCCCCCCCCCGCTCTGCCTGTGCCTGTTCCAGCAGGGGTCCCCAGGTCTGCCTGGGTTCCATGTCTCTAGGTTCCCAAGCAATAATCCACCCCTTTGGCTTCCTAAGGAGCCGCACAATAGCTTTATTGAACGGAGCTATAAATTTCAGCAAGGCCAACCCTGGGAGTAGGCAATTACCTTCGGAGGAGGCTCCCTCTGGTCTAACTGCCTTCCAACACAAGGGGGTCGTTCATAACCACTCAGTGCTGGGCCACAGTTGGAGCTGGGCCGCGGTTGGAGATGGCCCATGCATGGGTTGGTGCTGAGCACACCCCTGCCCCCCTTACCACCTCATCCCCCCAGACAGGGCATGGCAATGGGGGAGGGGGGTAGGCAGCAGCCACAGGAGCAACACTTGAGCTTTGAAGGAGATTCTTGGGATGGCTGCTTCTGTTTCCCCCAAAATTTTGACCTTAGCCCAAAATTGAGTTGAAGGAAGGAAGAAGAATAAATAACTATATCTTGCAGGCCTTTTTAAAGTTACGACACACCAGGAGAAGTGAAGGGGGCGGGGAGAAGGAGACGCAGGGAGGAGGAAAGGACCTTTTCCTTCTTTACTTGGGGGAAATTGCTACATTTTTCTAATAACAAGTAACAAGAAAACAGCTGAACCTTAAAACTTCAAACTTCAATCAAAGTCACTCTCAGAGAAGAGTAGGTGGTTTGCAAAGGCTAGGAAATATTTTTTAAAACATTAAAGAACAATTGTTCTGGAATTCATCAAGATATTAATATTAGAATAGGTAACCGAGGAGACAGGCTGTTCCGGTATGTAGAGCCCTGAGCCCTGGGCCAGGGTCTGCTTTCAGGGGATCTAGCCTCTCTCCTTCCCCTGAGAAAAGCTCACAGGTTCAAGGCACTGAAGGGGCAGAGAACACAGCAGTGTCAAAAACACTCCTCCAGCAGCCCAGTTCCCTGGCCCCACTCCAGCCCTCCCACATCTCCTCTCCACAGTGGCAGGCGAGCCGTGTAGATGGGGACACCTGTCCCCAGGGCAGGTACTCCCAGGGCGTACTGACTGACAGCTCCAACCTACGGAGGGACTTGTTTGGTGGGAAACAGACACTTGGGCTCCCCATGACTGTCAAGCCATTTCCCAGCTCTCAGCTCATTTAAACTAAAACCCAAGTATATGTATTCCCTAGTAGACCCGACACACTCCACTGCTCCTGCCAACTTGCTCTGCAACTTTGTACACAGCAGATCAATGTGTGCAATTTAGGAACAGAGAAATGAAGACTTCTGTGAGGGGTGGGGGCGGGCAGCCGGGAGGCCTGGCTCCTGCTCACCACCCCCATTCCCTCTACCTAAAACTCAGGCTTTCCCCCACCCATCCTATAGAACTGAACTCTGAATCTTTAAGAGGAAAAAAGATGAAAGAAAGAAAAGAAGAAAAAAAAAAGAAAGAAAAAACCCACCATGGACACAGAAGGACAAGCCTTCCAAGTTCACCTGAGTAAAGCTGGTAACTGGTACTTACTTGTTCATGTGCCTCACGTTCAAAACGTGACCGTGACCATAAACTCACATAAAATGCCATCTGTATCCTGGCCTGAAGGGCACACCTACAGTTCCTGTGTCCCCACCCCTCCTCTCACCCCAAGGAGTTCCCAATTCCTCAGCAGTCACTTGGGGACAAGTGACTTCATGTTGAACAAATACAGATGCTATTTACCTTCCATCCATTTTCCTGACTATTCTTAGAGGACTGGGGGGGGGGGGCGCGGCGGGGGAGGAGAAAGTTTAGTTTGGTTTTATTGTGAAAGGAAGCTGCAGAACCCTGTCTTTAAGGGAGTGACTCTAGAAGGCTTTGCAAGTTTTCCCCTCACATCCCCACTCTCTCCTGTCAGAGAGACTGACTCAAAGGAGAAAATGGACTCCACTTAGTTAGCGGGTGTTGAAACCACGCTCCTGAAATCCGTTGGCATAAGATTCTCGTTAGCTCCCTGGACTCCAAAACAAGGCTTTTTGCTTGCTTTCACACACTCAGCTAAACATTGCTCTTTTTCCTACCAAAGTTGCCCTTGATGTTCCTTTTCATCTGATTTTACTAGAAAGGTGACACCAGAAAGAGGAACTTGGTGAATTTCACTTGGCACTCCCTGCAAGGAGCGCACTCAGGGGAAGAAATGGTTTGTGCGCTTGTTGAGGACAAGTCTCTGTGTTGGGTGCTTTCTCTATGCCTCCAGATCTCTCCATCAGTGTCACCCCTCCATCCCCACTGAAGTTACCTAAACTACAAGTGAGAAGACCCTAAGGTAGACCCTAAAGACATAAGGAAGTACTAGCTAGATACAGAGATTTGCCCCAGATCGTGAAAGGCAACATCAGGACTCAAAATCAGACTGTTTCCAAAGCCAGAGCTGTTTCCTTGAAAGCAACGCAATGTGGAAGAGAGATGAGCTCTGGACCCAAAGAAACCTTCTGAGGTAAATTGGCCCCAGCACATGCTAATGGCATGACCTCAGACAATTACCCTATCATTTTTCTCATCTGTAGGAGGACCTAGCGCTTGTCATAGAGTGGTTGTTAGGATTCTATGAATTGGTACTTCCCCAACATCAAGCACTTTGCCAGGCCTGCAGTAGGTATAAACAGATGTCACTGCCACTTCTCTTCACGTTTCTCCATTTTGCAAGAGAAAAAAAATATATATATAAAATACATCTTGTGGAAATTTAACATAAGCATACAACTCAATCAATTTCACAAACTGTACACATCCATATGTCCAGAAACCAGATCAAAAGAATGTTTTCACCCACCCCTCCAGAGGTCCCTTTCTGCCCCTCCCCACCACTATGTCCTTTCAAGGATAAACTCCATCTTGATTTCTAATGCTGCAAGCTAGTTGTGCCTGCTTCTGACTTTATATTATTGGATTCCTGCAGCATGTTCCCCCTCCTCTCTGGTTCCTTTTACTAGACATTATGTTTTTGAGATTCATCCATGTTGCTGCATTGACTATAGCTCACTCATCCTCATTTCTATACAGTATCCCAGTGTGTGAATATGGATATACCCAATTTATTTATCCATTCTATTGTTCATGAGCATTTGGGTTGCTTCCAGTATTTTGCTTTTACTAAAATGCTGCTCTGAATGTTCTTGTGTGTTTTGATAAATATGCATTTGCTTTTTTCTGTTGGCTATAAACAGTACAATTGCTGGTTTATAAGATATGTATATGTTCTGCATCAATAGACACTGCCAAATCATTTTCCAAAATGCCGGTTCCAATTTACATTCCCATCTAGTATTTGAGAGTTTTGCTTTTTTTCTACATTCTCACCAATACTTGGTATTGTCCGTCTTTTGTATTTTAGCCATTCTACTAAAATGTAATAGATATTTCCCTGGTTTAATTTACAAACCTCCAATTAACAAAAATAATTGAGCACTTTTTCACATGTTTAGTAAAGTACTGGAGGTCTTCTTTTAAGAAAGGCCTATCGAAGCTTTAGCCCATTTCTCTGTTGAGTTGTCTGCTTTTTTCTTATTGATGT